AAAATCTCAAAATAAAAAGATTACAAGTGTGACAAAACTAGTGCCTGTTGATTCTGAGGTAAAAAAAAATAAATACAATTTTTCGTTAAGTTCACCTTGAAAACATCTTCAGTCAGCATGTTTTGCTTTTTTCCGTTTTGAAGCATTAACCCAGGGTGCAAATATAATGTCACACACCTGCTGTTGACATTCGTACAGCGTTCCGCTCATATTTTCATACAGGTCACCGTGGAAACGCCAATGAGCGCGCACCTCAAAGTTTCGACCTAAATTCCGGAAGTTTCATGGGACGGAACCTCCATATATGAATAATTGTGGGAGGAGCCACGCTTACAGGTGTATAAGTGCTGCAGGTTTAAATGAATCATGCAATTGATACCAGCAGCCGAGCGAACGAGGGAGCGCGTGGAGGGAGCACAACTTCTGGTTTTAAGGTTTGGTTTTTTTTTTTTTTTAGTGGCTATTCGATTTCAGGAATTCCCGTTGAAGTAGACCTGCCTGGTTTTTGAACACGTTTAGCGCTTTTATAACGTTTAGATGTGTTTAACCTATTCTTCTGAGTCCAAATGCTGAACACGAGTGGAATCCACCGGGGTTTCACGTCTTTCCAGTTGTGTTTGGGAGTGGTTTGGATGCATTTGTCTCTTTGGGAGCGGCGTCACTAGCATGTGTGCCTCATATGAGAGTTTTGGGAAAGCATCTATAAACCCCCCTTTAAGGATTTGAAGTTTTCTGACACAAGCTTGATTTGTAACCGTGTTTGCATGGAAAAGAGGAAAGCTATGCTACATTAAGGCTAGAAGGCATTAGCAGGGTTATTTTGGTTTACAAATAAGCTTATTTAAATATCTGGTTAGTAATTTGGTCTCCTTTTTGTCCACCAGAAGGGAAACCTAAAGACTCCTTGGATATGGCTTTCAACAACACCCTGACCTCAAGAGCTGCTCTGCTCTATGATGAGTGGCTTAAGGAAGCAGGTGAGTTTGCATCATCAGCACATCTGTGTCTGTAGGGTTTCTGTAGTTGGTTGTGAAATAAGACCTCTTTTGCTTCGCTTGTAGATCCACGGACCGAGAACTGGCTGCTTATGGCCTCTCCGTTCCCTCAAACGATCATCATCGCTGCTTACGTCTACTTCGTG